AAGCCAAGGAATAATACTGGGATACCCGGGCGCTTCGTAGTGATGACTGAGCGAGGGAATGAACTGAAAGTGGAAAGAAGAACAAGAGAAATAATCGGAAACGCTAAAATTAAGAGTTTAAGCGGTACGTACCCCAAAGTTCCCTCGTGGTCTCCTTCCTACTAGCCGGGCCAATCCGTAGGTTTGCCTTTAATCAATAGCAAGCTCACAAGGTTTTATACCCTTTTAGGTAGAATTTGTATTGCTCATATCATACACACATACAGTAGCGGTCAAAAGTGTTCGCCGAAACGGTTTTCCGTGCTCCTCTTTTTTTGCCAGAAAAAAAACCAAGGTGGCCTCGAAAATTTTTTTGAATATCCTGATTCTTTAAGTTTGAGGATATAAAAACACTAGAAAACATAGTATATCAATCTTTGGAGGGCGTTGCTCAAGCGAGAAAAAATAATGCACTAAAAATCGTTTCGGCGAACACTTTTGACCGCTACTGTATCAAGAGACTTGAGCTTCTTGAGCTCTGTTCTTGTAGTGCAAACATATGGTACCGGCTAGAACGTGAGTACCTTGTTCATAATCATTTCAATCGAGCTTGTAGTTCAGAGATTAGACAAAAGGCGCCATCTCGAATTGGAGCAAAAAGATTAAAGGAATCGTCCACGGTAAACTTTGCCTCCATCCTCATCAGAAATTGAAACCTTAGCCCCTGGCTTCACGAGAGCAGCGAAAAGAGAGGGAAATAAGCACTGGTTTCGATATCATTCCAAACAACTAGAATGGCTCAAGAAAATGAAATTTTGCCGTGAAACTCTCACACCGTTGGCGTTCGGGAGCAGGTTGGCATCCAAATGTGTTGAAAACGCAAAGGTTCCGGATGGCATGTTAAACCTCCCCCGGAACTTACATACACTTAGAACTTACAAACTTACATATGAACGTGGATCCGTACTTGACATGTACTTCGTCACAAAAGCACTTCTTGTCTCGTTTACCGAGGCGTATGCCTTCCAGTGGATGGAAAATAACAGATTTTCCGTGGACTTAAAGGAGGAATTCACGATTAGAATGAAGGTCGAAGAAAGGGAAACTGACCTAGTTGAGGGACCCACGGACCTCCTGAGGGTGCGAACTGACGCGCAATTCGCATGGAAAAATTTGACCTCGGCGACCTATCATGCCTCAAAGCTGGCGGGTCCGGCGATCTCCGCCCACCGATCATCTGATCACTCGCCGTAGTTCAATACGTGGCGAGTGATTAGATAGCTGAGAGAGCGTAGTGTTGAAGAGGGCACAGCGATGAGAGTCGCATCAATGCTCAAATCAACGGGCAAGGAAGGGGTCCATTTCTCGGGTTCTGGGCCGTTTCTCATGGTTCTTCCTTCTTTCGTGTACCACTCACCATCCCTAGGTTAATTTGAAATGGGTTGCTTTTTCATCGTGAATTCGTCCTTTAAAGCGAGACCCCTGCAGATCAGCATTTCGGACAACTTCATGAGCACTAAGGGAGGACACATTATTTGTCTAGTTTCCGTCTAAGGGCACGTGCGAAACGGAAACTAGACTACTCTTTGTCCGACCCCACATAATAATAACATAATAATATGACAACTAGTCTTCTATCGATCAACGAAAATGCAAACTTTATTGAATTCACAAAAAGTAAATTTCATGTACATATTCGTAATATCTGGGATATCATCTCTGTAGGAACCCATCCTCCTCCTTCCCCTCCCCCTCCTCCCACTGCTCCTATAATGGCTTCAATAGCATTGGATTCTGGGACTCTAGTACCACCCCATACAGTTCAACTGCACTCAAAAATTCCTCAAAGCTATGATTGAACGACAAGAGATATATACGGCTATTCAAATGACTAGTTATATACTATTTTTAATTTCCTTTCCAATCAACGACACATTCCCCGTTCGCAGCCACAACCCCAGGGTCAATCCTACCTTCTTACTAGTAACTACGGGGGGTCGTACTGGTTGAGTTTGTAGGAGGGGGGTGTCGTACCCGTTTCGGTCGCTTGGAAATCACATGTGAGTTTGAGGTGAGAGTAGGAGTAAAATGGCGGAGATATAGGGTTTTTGTACTGTTCCAGTATAATACCCCGTGCCCCCTCCCTCCCCCCTCAACGGCTCATTTTTGGAGGAAAAAGTGGGCGGAGTTTGGTGGGTTGAGTGGTATCAGAATTATATACTATAGAGAGTGGTCGAGGTGTGGAAAAGGGTCGTATCAAATCCACCTTGGGGGAGGGGGTCGTGAAAATTTTTCAAAAAGTAACAACGATAGGGTTGACCCTGGCCACAACCCCTTCAAACCTACAAATACAACCTCGTGATGACAGTTGGCCCTTCTCTTTGAGAGTTGTGAGAGTAATTGGTGCACCTCCAAATGTTGCACGAATGGACAGTTTCTCCACGATTTGTTTTGAACTTATTTAGGTTCGATGAGAATCGTTTAACGTTTGGAAGCCCTCATTCACTTCACGATTAGTTCTCACCTCTCTGAACCATTTACAGAGGCTTACTATTTCAGTCTCTTGGCTAACAATCTCGTGCCACGAATCCTCGACGACCTGGTGGCACCAATGCGAAAGCTGTCGCTGAGTGAAGCCGAAATCGTTGTTCTATCCGCCTTAGTAATTCTAGATCCAGGTGATGATTTCATTTCAACGACAACTTTCCAAGATTGTGTGGAGCTGATTTGCACTGCTCCTCGTCACCAACACTTACCAAATCATTATATTAGCAACAGATTCGCCCGGCTTATCGGAATCATCGTCGCTAGCACTCAGCCAGCTTCGCGATCGTGTGCAAAACGCGTTGTTCCAGCTGATTCGTGAGAACTCGTCCGTGTTGCACAACGTGACGAGCCGTTTCGGCAACATTCTGCTCCTGCTCCCACCTCTAGCGGTAAGATTTGTTATAGTTATGCCAGAACGACTGCCCTTGTTCCATCAGTACCTGTTGATCGTATCAACAAAAGCACTAATAATCCTGTTTCAGAAATTGAGCTCACTTGTCGGAGAGAATGTGCAATTTGCTCGTATGTTTGGCGGAACGCTCGATCCACTTCTTGTGGAATTGTTCGCCGACAACACCTCTGAGGTGCGGTGTTTAGGATAGTTTGCCAAGTATTTATTGTTGATTATATTTGTTGTTGAAGGTTATCTCATCACCGTCAACCAGGGAGAAAGCGGACGTATCCACTCAAACGTACCCGTCCACTTCACCGGCTCTGCCGTCTGATCTCGCCGAAGTACACGATGAAATCCCGGCATGTACGGAACCCACTCGCCCAGCACCTGTCCTACCAACAGGTTAGAATTGCTTTGAAGAACACTTCTAATTCGGCGTAAATTGGGCTCTGCTCTTGATCATAAGCATAGATCTTGTGGCAGGGTGGCTGGCATGCAAAGGATGTGATGGAAATATATCGAAATTTCGTACTTATTTACCCTTTCTGCCCCGCTCCTCAAGAACTGAGCCGGATTTGACCGAAATTCCGTCCTGACAGATCGGCAAGAGTTGCTCGGAGGGGGGGTATTGACGCTGTAGAAAGATTATCAGCATCGGTTCGGCCGCGACAACGACTGTGCGCCCGCGCCATCACAACATTTTAAGAGCGAAGCCTTGAGCGGCATGCTCAGTTGCAGGCGAATAAGCCGTAGTTCAACGTCTACGGCTTAAAGATACCTCTGAAGACCAAGTATCCAGCGAATTCGTGATATTAGGTAGTTTATTTTATTTATTTATTTATTCTTGGTCAATCACAGAAGAGCAATACACAGTAATCATCCAGTATTTAACATCCGATTGACTTAGGTGAAATTATCTTAAGAGGGACTTTCTAATAGAAATAGAAAACTCCATAGAGGCTACAGAAGTTGCTGCAACTAAGTTTTACAAGAGCAATATTTTATGCACCGATAAATTCATGTAGACCGGATGATACATTTTGTAGAAAACCACTAGCCACCGAGCCCTGAAAATAACCGACTGCTGAGGCCGCAGCACTACAGGGGCGGGTGCCATTTGCACCTCTTTGATCTAAACACGAACCCCAGGAGCTGGCTCAGGGGTGCTTACGAAGGCTATCTACTGGTGCGCAAAAGTGGTTGACGTTGGATGAGAAATATCAATAATCACGGTCTATATGAATAAAACCAGCGGACAGCGTATTGCTCAAGAAGGAGGAAGCACATGGAGGGTAGGAAGTACAGAGCTTATGGAGTTTCATTATTCCTATTAGAAACCAACAATAATCCGGTGGGTTGAGCTAGAATTATGTTACAGATACAGTTAGAAAAACCTTTTCTCTTTTGTTCAGAAAAAAAATTATTTGATTAATAGAAAAAAATCGTCCAGCATTCCCGGCGACGGAGCTTCTAGCGCGTTTGAGAGCATACTAGAACACCTGTGACTGGAAGAGAGAATAAAGGAACTGAAACAGAAGTGGTTGGAAGAAATGAAAAAAAAATTGATTGAAAGGAATTGAATTAGAAATTGAAAAAAAAACAAGAGAACTGAAAGGAGATATAAATAAGCATATAAAAATAGATATACAGAATTAAGGTTGCTTGAATTCACTGACAAATAAAATATACTGAACTATGCCCAGAATCTTTGAGTCTTCGCAGATGTTACAGTGGCCGGGTCTGAGGAGGTATACTATAGCATATCTGCCGTGGGTGGGAGGATTTCCTTGGACCTAATCCAATACATTGCACAATAATTAAGGTTGCTGCTCATTTAAAAGCTGTATCTTATAGTGAAGCAGGAACGAAGCCGAATGTCTAAACTGGAGCATATCCGAACTAAGGTGATTCCATGGACTTTGAACTCTTGCAAGGAACGAATTTTTGTATGAATCACTATGTGGAGTGTCTATCTGCACCTTATATGGATGACCTCTTGTGATGCCCACAAAGGGGAGAGATTCTGAAGAAGTCTGTTAGCTGCAGATCGACTTCGCCTGTGGTCATTTTGTACAAAAAACCAAGGTCTGCAACTCTTCTACGTAATTCCAGTGATTGAGCATTCAATTTCTTCAAGCGCATGTGGTATGGAATTCCAAATAAGCCCTTCCTCATGAAACATCTTCGAGTAAACTCTTTTTGCACGTTTTCGATTTCTTGCACTAAATAAACGTGGGAAGGTGACCAAAGCTGAGTACAGTATTCCATCAGGGGTCTAACGTATATAGGAGAACAGCCTAAAAAGGATAATGGGGTCCCGTGATTTAAAAGCTTTGAGTATAAAATTTGCTCTCCTCTTGGCCTTCAACGCCACAGCATGGATATACGAACTGTAGTCGAAAGCAGCGGTGTATGTAACACCCAGATCACGAATAGATTCTGGGTACGCAAGTCTGCAACCGTTTAGAGCAAAGTGTACCTTAGGATGCTTTTTTCCGAAGCCCATAACAAAAGTTTTCTCTGTCGAGACCTCTAACTCCCACTTCTTACACCACGCGGACACAACATCCAGGGCTTCCTGCAGTAGGTCACAGTTGTTGACTGTGAATATTTTGGAGTCGTCCGCATACAATGAGCATTGCACCCCTACAGGCAAACTCTTCGGTAGGTCGTCCACAAAGATCAAGAACATCAGTGGACCTAAGCATGATCCCTGAGGAACACCACTTGTTGTCTCATAGATACGAGACATAGCGCCATTAATTCCTACTACCTGAGAACGCCCCGTGAGAAAGGACTTGAGAAACTTGTAGAGACAGCCATGGATACCGTAACCTTGAATTTTGCTCAGTAAGAGTGGTATAGAAATCGAGTCAAAAGCTTTCTTGAAGTCGATGTAACACGCAGTGACATAGTTGCCCCTATCTACCTCTCTATGCCATAGAGGGAACAGTCGATAGAAGAGCAGAAGCTGTAGACCTTTTGCTGACGAAACCATGTTGTGCCTTGGCTAGCAATTGATTGTGTCGCAGAAACCCTGTTATGGCCTTACAAATAATGCGTTCCATTACCTTACATGTAGAACTGGTGAGACATATAGGGCGGTAATTAGCCACATCAGTCTTGGCCCTTTCTTGTGTATAGGGCGTACTATCCCGACCTTCCATGCCGCAGGCACCGTCCCATGGAGAAGAAACCTATTGAAGAGTATGACCAGTGGAGCTGTGAGACCAAGGGCTGCCTTTTTGAGGAATATATAAGGAACGTTATCAGGTGATGCTGAGTTTCTTGCGGGGAGGCGGCGCAGAGCACGGTACACAGAGTCGCTGGAAATATCTATCCAGTCCATCCGCTGTTGTGTCACGGGAGGGTAGTAAACACCTGCTTTCCTAGGTAGCTTATAGACCGATTTCAAAATAATCAGCGAATAAATTTGCTTTCTCTTCGTTACTTCTGACAACGGAGGAACCGTTAACTAGAGGGGGTATGCCCTCCAACAATTTTCAATCTCTGATTACAAAACTTGAAGAAAAGTTTGTTGTTATGCGAGTTAGCTACTTGATTTTCCTCTTGTATGGAGAGTAGTGCAAGCTTCCCTCTTAAGCTTACGTGCCACCTTGAGATATTTCTGCGAGCCATACTTATGAATGTTATTGAAATAGAACCTCGCCTTGGCATTGAGTGTGCGAATCTTCTTAGGGATATTTGACCTGTCGCGCCCTTCTTTTGACTAGGGGAACGTGATCGTTGATGATCTGGTTGCAAATATGGATAAACTGTTCATAACACTTGTCCACATCGTGGTAATTGAGCTCTTCTGTCCAATTAACCCGGGTTAATGCGTCTATTATGATGCTATAGTCTGCAACTGCAAAGTTCCGGTAGGCCGTAGTAGTGGGAGAGGGTAGCATCCCACGTACTTTCCAGGCAACGCAGCAGTGGTCAGAGGTACTAAACGGGGGGAGAATGTCGAGGTCATCGATCTTAGTTGGATCGGCCGCGATGACCAGGTCTAGTGTATTCATACCGTGGGTAGGTTTCATGACCAGTTGGGTGAGGCTGTGCGAAATGATAAGGTCAATGAAGGCCGAAGATGATATTGAGGATATACCTCCACGATGATCTAGACGCTCCCAGTCAATCAGCGGGAAATTGAAATCACCGATAATTAGGACGTTTTGTGACCAGGCTAAGCAGAGTTCGTCCAAATATCCGAGAAGCTCAGCAAAAGCCGCTGATCTAGTCGATGGACTTCTATACACGGTGACAATCAAGAGATCAATGCCTTCGATATTGATGTGAACGGCTACAACTTGACAGAATTCAGAAAAATTTCTCGCCGAGACGAGGTGCTGGTCGATATGGCTTCGTATCAAACAGCAACACCACCTCCAATTCGGTCACCGTCCCTATCGCAGCGATGAACAACATATTCACTGCCATGACTCAAAATTGCGTCGTGTATAGTGCCTGGCTTACACCAAGTCTCAGTAATAAATGCTGCGAGTGGGCTCTGGGCTAATAGATGATTGAGGTCAGGAATCTTGTTTGCGATGGAGCGAGCGTTGAAAAGAATAAATTTATTACCAAGTGTCTCTAAACACTTTTTCCGAGGTGCAAATAGGTAGGTGCCAGCAGATTCGATTTCCGTGACTCCTACCGATGATCCCTAACGCTGGTGACGGTTCCGAGAAGTGGCGAGCGGGGGCCTAAGTGGTCATGGCTTCCATTAGAAACGGACCCCAGTAGATGCCGTGTACCCTCGTTAGTCTGCTCTGCCATCCATTCGATTGCTAGCCGCCTGATCGGCAGATAACTGGGTCATTGATCGCGACTAGGTAGCTCTCGAGGGGTCCGTAACTTGTGGATCGATAGGTCTCTGACAACGTAGGCAAGTTTACCTTCTTCTTCATTCATCATGCCCGCCTTTCTTCGGAGATACTTGTCGTATTCGAGTTCCTCTCTCGTGTAGTCCTTTCTCGCGTAGGAGTGGACATAATTTTTTGTCAGAGATTGTCCTTCCCATCCTCATAGACGAGAGCAGCTTGTCCCGAAGCTCCTGCGATCGCAATTTGATCTTTATGATTCTAGGCCGTGAAAGCCTAGAAGACGCTCTTACTGGAGGATGACGATGTATTTCGATGTTCCCCCGCTTCCACTCCGTAAGGAGGTCATCTTCGTGGGAGTTCTCAATAACTTCTTTGAGGGCCTCCCTATCAAAGGCATCTGTGGCAACCTGAGTCTGGCGTTCCTCAATCCCCACCCACGTGATGCCGCAGGCCTTTGCGCTCACGGTTTTTGCATCATTTTGGAACTTGACCAATGTGCTGTATAGTGCGGGGGTGGAGTCCCCATTACTCTGGGAGATGTGCCTATTTTCTAAGGAACTAAGCTTGTTCAATATTAA